GGCACTCCCACCCAGTCACATGGCCGGCAAGCCACTCCTACCTGGTCACATGGCCAGCAAGGCACTCCCACCCAGTCACATGGCCGGCAAGCCACTCCTACCTGGTCACATGGCCAGCAAGGCACTCCCACCCAGTCACATGATTGGCCAGCCACTCCCACAAAGCAGGCCATACCTGCAGAAGAGGTTCTAAAAAAATTTGAAACCTACCACTGGTAAAGTCCCAATGGTGCTTTTCCAAAAGGCACGTGGAATTTCTGGGTTTTTCTCTTGAAAATGTTTTGCTTCTCATCCAGGAAGTTCTGAAGAAGAGGCTCCTTGGATGAGAAGTGAAACATTTTCAGGGGGAAAAAAACCAAGAAAGTTCAGACGCCTTTTGGAACAACCATGGCCTAGATCAGGGGTGTCAAACTCGATTTCATTGAGGGCCGCATCAGGATTGTGTTTGACCTCTGGGGGCGGGCGTGGCCAGAGAGGCATGGCTAGCTCAACATCACTCTTGTCAGAGGCACCTGTGTGGTGGCCAAGTGCTAAGGCAGGACTTCCCTCAGACCCTCCCTTCCTCTCATAATAATCCTCCCTTCCTTCCTTTTTCCCTTTTTTCTTTTTCCTTCCCTCTTCTTTCTCCTTTCTTCTTCTTCATTTCCCTCTTTCCTTTTTTCCCTTCCTTGCTCTCTTCCCTTCTTTTTCTTTCCCTTTCTCCTTTCCTCTCCCTTCTTGGATTCTCAACTACAAAAGGGGATTTTTTCCCCTTTTGATTTGTTCTTACTTTGTTTTGCTGTCCTCTGCCAACAACAATGGAGCTGGTCCCTCGAGCTCTGCTTTTGCTGGCAGAGGCACCACGGTGTTCCCAGGCCGACCCCGTGGACCGGATCTAAGCATCCTGCGAGACGGATCCAGCCACTGAGCCTTGAGTTTGACACCCTTGGCCTAGATGATAGACACTCAGGGTAAAGGTATTAAGTAACCCCTTTGTTTCTTCTCCCAAATAAACTGGGAGCAAATCATTCCCTTCCTGTTTGCTCTGGAGGAGACAGGAATTTTTTTTGCTGTCATCACCCACCAAGGCAGCTCTGGTTGCCAGAAAAGAGCCTTTCAAGGGTTAAGCAAGCTGCTTCCACCGAGTTACCTTAAGGGCAGAGTCCTGCTGTTATTGGTCTTGGCAGCTCCTAGGAGCACAAGGCAGACGGTTCCCCTGTGCACCCTCTCCTGCCTGATTTAACTCATGGGAGAATGACAGAAATTTCTCTTGGCATTTCATGTGCCTCACTGCTTGGCTGAGAGTCTGGGGCGGGGTGGGGTGGGGACACACGGCCCAAGCCTCAGAGATCAAAGCTTCAAGGGAGCGTGAGTGACATTTTGCCTGTCACTGAGAGACCAATCTCAGCCACAAGACAGAAACACAGGGCTGACAGTAATGAGCAAGCAAGAAGACCAGGATCCTTTGCCCTCCCCACCCTTTTCCCCCCAAACCTGGGTGGCTGTTGCAGGTGAAGATGTCTACAATCATGTAAGAGCTGGTGAAACTAGGAAACAATTTGCCCAAATTATACTCCTGTCTCTTTTCTTTCTCTCTGCCTTGCCGAAATCTCCCTCTATCTGAGCATCTTGCTTTCTACCTTGGTTGGTCAGACCTCTCTGGAAAGTTCACAGACCAAGGAGGGAGAATTCTCTATTGCTTCTCAGAGAGGGACGGATGTTCAGACATTAATATCTGTAGCCCTGTTGACCCTCCAAATCTGTTACAAGATTCGTTCTTTCTTTCTCTCTTTCCTTTCTTTCTTCTTCTTCCTCCTCCTCCTTTTTTCTTCTTCCCATAGATTCTCCCAATCCAAGTCCACAATAGCCCCCTTGCTGCTATTCAGAAGCCCCCGGACCACAGAAAGGAGCTGCTGGCCCCTATTTAACCCTAAAGTCAACTGGTGTTGAAGAGAGAGGTTCGTTTTAGACATCATAACTAGTATCCTTGAATGGAGAGGCTGCAAGAAGGTTGAGATACAATTGTTGGCTATTCCCAGAATTACACCATCTGCTTCTTGGTTTGGAACTTTGGGGCATTCTGGGTGTAGACAGGCCTCGCATGGCATCTGAGATGAGGATTGTTCAGGCTACACCCACCTCTTTCTTAAGTCAGGCTGTTCCACAGCTAGTGACAAGTGGAGTGTGACATCATTGGTTGCCATGGCAAATGCTTCCTGCAGTTGTTTTTTTTTTTTTTGCCATCCCAGAATGGTTGAAAAGCAAGAAAGCATTTGGAAGGGGATGCTTTGGAGGGGGGAAAAATGAATAGCAAAAAGGCAGCTTTAAGAGTTCTTCCATGAAAGTTTGGCATTTTTAAGGATTGGATATATAAGGTGTTTGTGAGTCATTGCATTGTAGCACTTTTCTGAGTGAATGCCCTTTGTGCATGAATGTGCGAGCTGGCTACTGATATAACAATGAACAAGTATGTATGAAGTATGAACAAGTTCATGCATCATATAGTTAAGCCATCCTGGGGCTCTGGAGCTACACACAGGCAATGAAGCCAGCTGTGGTCACGACAGACTTCTAGAAGTCTTAACCAAAGTGGAAATTTTAATGTGAAGGGAAAATTATTAGACATATGGCCAGAGGGTATCTATTCTAACTGCGCTTAATTTTAATTAAACACAAAGCCAAGCCAATGTTATTTTGTTTTTGCCCTGGATTTGCTTATTACTATTACTGTCATGAAGCCTAAAAATCAAGTCTGTCTCTTGGATTGGAAATGACCTTAAACCAAAAGCAAGCATACCACATTTGGCTTATTATTTGGTATGTGAAAGGAGCCAACATGTTCTCTGCATTTCTTCTTTTCATTCAAAACATCCTTGTTTTTGATAAAAGATCCCACAATTTTGTTGGAGAATACAAGAGTTTCCCCTTTTCTCTGTTGTATCCCTACAGCAAATTCTGACAATACATTTGAGAAGAGAAGGAAACAGAGAAAGGAATTGTGTACCAAAAGTCTTGTGATGTTATTCCGTTTTAGCAAAAACAATGCTTGGACTGATTCATTTCTTGTGGGAGAATTTTTTTATGTCATCAAATACTGTTTCAAAATATTTATATTCCACCCTTAAATAAAATAATTTCCAGTTTGGTTTGTGATAAAGGATTAAACTAATCTTTACCAATCCACTTTTTAAAGAGTTACTAAAAAATCACCATTATTTTGGGGTGTTTAGGAACTAGAAATAAACATTCATTTCTTCCTATAAGCCCATGGAGACTTTTAAAAAGACCTCTGAGGCACTTTTTGAAATGTCTGTCAAAACTCTACCAGCTCCCAAATGAGAAAGCTAAATTTTTACAAAGTCTCATTAATTAGGTTACCGGTAATTCCAAAGAAAAGGGCCATTGGAACATATATCCAATTTTCAGCCACCTGTGAGTTGATGACTTTCATGCTCTTTTGAATTGTCTCTTAATTAAGGAGGAAGTTGCCTATCCGTTAGTGGCATTATGAAAAGAATATCAGTCTGTTCCAGCCTACCATATTTTGAAAATGCTCACTCCTGTTTCCAGATCCAATGAATTCTGTTATAAATCCCTGGAAGCCAGTCCTTTTTCTGAGAGAAAATAACCCTTCCTGAGAGTGGATGGATTCTGTTCTCCAATTGATAGCCATTTCTTGTGATTTCATCTATGCTAGAGGGGTTTGAGACAGAAAAGAGTCTTTGGGGCTCAAAATCAAGATCCTAAAAGCCTCAAAGACTCTTCCATCACAAACGTGCTTTATCAGTTCAGGTGAGGTTACACAGCTTCATAATCTTGATTAGTTGTCTTGGTGAAATTCTTTGTGGTTTGACAGTTGTGCAAACCCCAGCCCATTGCTTAATTGACCATCCAGGACAGCGGTCACCAATTGGTGGTCTGAGGACTACTGGCGGTCCACGAGAAAATTTTGGTGGTCTGCAGAAAATGTATTTGCATTTTTTATATTGTACAAAACCAGGGGTCCTCAAACTATGCCCCCTGGGCCAGATACATGCAATGAACGTTTGTGTTGCTGCAGAGAGTCTCCCCCTCTTGAGACTTTTTCTGCAGGTCGGAGGGGGGCAGAAATTCCGACTTGGGGTCTGCTTCAGCCTCCTGGTGTGGAGCTTTGAACAAAGGCTGGAGGGAAGTGCTGCTAGTGGCAAAGAGTTGGAGGGCCTTGTTCTAGTAAGACTGCATCCTGGCCTGGAACTGGCTGACCATCTCAGCCCACTGAGCCTCCAGGTGCTGGCACCTGGCCTTGCACTCCTGCAGGTCTTCCCTCTGCTTGGAAAGCCTATGCTCATAGTCCTCAGTGAGATGCTTCTGCTGAACCTCCTTCTCGGTCAGATCCAATTTGAACTGAGCCAGCTGTTTTGTCAACTCTTTCTCATGGTGATTGCTTAGCTCCAACAACTGCTTCCTGTTGGGGCCCTAAGGAGCCCAGGTGGGCACACAAGGAGCGACGAATAGAGGCTTGCAAGGTGCCCCTCAACGTGAGTGACATCAAGTTGGCCACGCCCATCCAGTCACATGACCACCTTGCCACGCCCACCCAGACGGTCATCAGGCAGATCATATTATTGGTTTGTGGGATTTCAAATTATGAATTTAATGGTCCCTGAGGTCTGAAAGGTTGGTGACCCTGATCCAGGATATTGTGTGAGCCCAGAAAAGGGCTGATGCAGTAATCAGGTGATGCATGTTGTGTGAATACAGCCAGAAAGTGGGAAAAGGATTGTAAGTGCTAGTTAGCTCTTAACTTGCATGATTTCTGCTTTAAACCTTTTATTTGCTAATTGGGAGTTAAGAGTCCACATCCTGTTGTTCCTCCCTCCAATTTTTTTTTTTAAAGATGGCTTCCTGCGTAATTTGTATTTGAAATTTTTATGTGAAAGAAGAGGAAAATAAAGGAATATGTAATGCATTTAATTTGAATTAATTTTGGTTTTTCTTTGCCTTGCCCATTTTTTGATGCTGGGCTATATACAGCATAGACCGTCATGGGGAAGATTAGGCTTGATGCAACCCTTGGTATCTCTCACCGTCCCACCCCAAACCTCCCCCAAAAAGGAAGTGCTTCCTGCTTTTACAATCTAGGACTTTTGAAAGACTCCATTTAACTCATCTCTTTCTCATGGAAAAAGGCAAACTGACATGCTAGCCCTCACACACTCCAGATGCACAAATATAGGTTCCCTATGCCAGTCTGGATTTTTACAAATTTCTATATTAGGCTAAATTGGAATTATATAGATTTTAATGTCCTATAGGACAGTGTTTCTCAACCTTGGCAACTTGAAGATGTCCGGACTTCAACTCCCAGAATTCCCCAGCCAGCGAATGCTGGCTGGGGAATTCT